ACAGCTCATTCAAGATATTGTTAAGCAGGTTCAAAAGGAACTCCATCACACCGTTTTACATGTCCCTCTTCATTTAGTTGGAATAGATTTTCTTGTGACTTGCATTAATTGGTGGTTAAAAGGACATGGATCAAATAACGTTGGCATTGCAACAATTTGCGGAATTTGAGGGATTGGGAAGACAACCATTGCCAAAGTTGTTTACAATCAAAACATCAAAAGTTTCGAAGGCTATAGTTTCCTTGCTGACGTTAGGGAAGTAAGCCAAGAAAGCAATGGCTTGGTTCGTTTGCAAAGACAGCTTATTTCAGATATACTTAAGGGAAAGGTAAACAAAATGAACAATGCAGAGTATGGAATTATTAAGATCAAAGAAGCGTTATGCTGTAGAAGAGTTCTTCTTGTTCTCGATGATGTGGATGATTCAAAAAAAATAACTAAAATAATCGGAACCCAAGTAGCTTTTCATCCTGGAAATAGGATCATGATAAGTAGCAGACATCGATCCATGCTGAATGCTCCTTTCACTACCCAGCTGCTGAATTTGGAATCATCATCATCTAATTATGGAGACATCTGCAAGGAATATGAAGTGAAAGAATTAACTTTTGACGAATCACTTCAGCTTTTTAACTCGTATGCCTTTGGAAAGAGTTGTCCCATTGAGATCAATTCAATGGAGTACGTAAGGAAAATAGTAAAACATTGTGGTGGGCTTCCATTAGCTCTTAAAGTTTTGGGTTCTTCACTATCAGGAAAAAGTATGAGTGTTTGGAAAAGTGCATTGGATAAATTGGAAGCAATCCCTGATAGCAAAATTCAAAAGTGTCTGAGAATAAGCTACGATTCCATGGAAGATGATCATGATAAAAATTTACTCCTTCACATAGCTTGTTTCTTCATCGGGAGGGACAAAGATTACACAACTACAATTCTAGATGGTAGTGATTTCTATACAACAGTTGGAATTGAAAATCTCATTTGCAGGTCTCTCCTAATTGTTAATGAAATAAACAAGCTAATGATGCATCAGATGTTTAGAGATATGGGAAAGGAAATTGTTCGACAAGAATCTATTAACCGTGGGAAACGAAGCAGGTTGTGGCATAAGGATGCATTTGATGTAATATGAGAAAAAATTGTAAGAGATGTCATTTTCATCTACTTGTTTCTTTTCTTCGATTTTTTTTTTTTAATTTTCTTTTTTGAGAAAAAGTCTTTCTCAACACGGTACCAAAGCTGTTAAATGCTTGAGCATTGACCTACAAGGATGGCTACATCTTGTAAATCAATCAAAAAATCCATTTCTCATGTCAAATGAGGTAGATATAGAAACTGAAGCATTATAAAGATGCAGAGACTTGAACTACTTCAGTTGGATTATGCAAAACTTAAAGGAAACTATAGAGACTTCCCAAAAGGCTTAACATCGTTGTGTTGGCATGGATTTCCAAGAAAATATATTGCAACAGTCTTAGATATTTCGAGACTAGCTGTTCTTGACATGCGCAGAAGTAGGCTAAAACATGTTTGGAAGGATTCAAAGGTGTGTGACTATTGGAAGGATTCAAAGGTGTGTGTGACTATTGGAAGGATTCAAAGGTGTGTGACTATCATTTTTCTTTCTTGTTCGTGAAGCAACAACATATATGTGTGAGCTAATTGTTTTTTATTTTTCTTAATTTACAGTGTCTTCCAAATTTGAAGATCCTTAATCTTAATCATTCACATAGTCTTCTCAAAACCCCAAACTTTTCAAGACTCCCTAGCCTTGAGAAATTAATGCTCAAAGATTGCATAAATCTGATTGAGGTTGATCAATCCATTGGTCAGCTAAAGGCACTCAGTTTTTTAAACCTTAAAGACTGTAAAAATCTAAGGAAAATTCCAGGTACCATTGGTATGTTGGTATCTCTTGAAGAGCTAATTTTATCTGGTTGCTTAAGACTTGGTCATGTACCGGAAGAGTTACAGAGTGTGAAATCATTGAGGGTGCTTGGTTTGGATGAAACTGCTATATTTGAATCGAATTCACGGTTGTCTTGGCTATCATTGAAAAGAAGAAAAGAAATGAGTTTGTTTTGGGAATTTTTACTATGTTCTTTGGTCAAGTTGAGTCTTGGGAATTGCAGACTATCAAATGATGTTATGCTCGGTGATCTTAGTAGTGTTCCTTAAAATCTTTAAATTTAAGTAGAAATCCAATTTATAGCTTGCCTGAAGGCATTATCAGCCTTACGAAGCTTACGGAACTTCTACTATCTTCTTGCAAACGACTCCAATCACTTCCAATGCTTCCAATAACTTCAAGTCTCAGGCACATCAAAACTTGGCAATCAATGGATAGAATGTCAAGTTTATCCTACCTTTTCCCTTTCGAAAGGTGCATTATTTTTGGTTGTGAAAAGCTAACTAGGGTTGAAGGTGTGTTCATGTTGGAACCAATTGAAAACTTTGAAGTGGAACAGATTGAATGCATATTTAATCTGGACTCTATTGGAACGAACAGAACGGAAATTTATAACTTTCTTACAGACACAAAAGTTGTTGCAACCCCACAGGTATTAATTTTCTTGATCTTTTAAGTTATTATATTTTTGACTAGGCTACCAAGATTTTAACTATGTCACTAAGACTAAAAATTTAGCACACTACCAGCATGCCACACTACTAATAGGCCACACAGCCTTATACCTTTTCTTTTGTGTTGTTTGTCCCTGTCTAATTTTTCATAATTACTAATGGTTTCGGTGACACAGGTACTTCATGAATTGGGCATCACTAGCTGTTTTGTTCCAGGAAGTGAGATCCCAATCTCGTTTGACCATCGTCGTAAAGGGTCAAAGATTTTTTTTTCTTTTCCATCATATGATTTTCCTGGTGAAAGGATCAGTGGGTTGAGCCTATGCATCCTTTTTTCTCTTGCTGATGATAAAAGTATACTTCACTTTCCACCATGTGTGGCAATTACTAACGACACCAAGAAGATTTGTTTATTACTCGAGTTTCATTGGAATTCCAGAATCCAAAAATGACACAATGTTTTGGTTAATCCATTGGCCAGTAAAGCGTTTCCAGTTCGAAGCTGGTGCTACTGTAAGCTGCATGGTGTTTTCTAATTTGATCATTAAAGAATTTGGAGTTACAGGTAGATGTAAATTAGGAAACAACATTACATCTATATGTGAACTACTTCAGCAAGATCATCAAGGTAATTTTTCAACATTTAAGAAATTTTAAATTCAAATTTTGAAATAGGAATGACAATATTTTGAGAAATGAAAAAAAAATCATATTTTTGGATAATTAAAATTGCTAGTTTCAAAAATCGGACCTGATTTTATTATATATGTAACTCAAATAATAATAATAATGATGATGATGATGATACCTTCTTTTATGAATCATACTGACATATTTATTTATCAAAATTATTAGGATATGATGAAGACATTGAGAGAGACATCCAGTTTGACCTTACTGAAGAAGACTTACTCAGTTTGGGCTCCAGTGGAAATGTCGAAGTACAAATTTTCAATCTCTTAAAGGAAACCAATATGGTTGCTTCCTCTTTCGGAAGAAATATGAGCAAAATTTGCCACATGACACTCGATGAACATACGCATGATAAATTCTATTCAAATTTTAACGATATGTTGACGAATTTAGAACAAATGATGAAATTTACTCATTACTCAATGCAACAGGTCTTATATGATTGTGGGATAACTAGCAAAGTTGATCTACCCCATGAGGCTCCATTGAATTGGGATGGCATTCATACTGTGGGCATGGGGTCTAAGATTTCATTTACAGTGCCTTTTGCGAAAAAGATTAGTTGGCTAAAATCGATCATCGTTCTTTCTGTTGACACTGACAAAACATTTGATTTCTTACCTTGTGTTGAAATTGTTAATGAGACCAAAGACACCAAGTGGACCTACTGTAAACATTTCATCGGAATTCCTAAAGCCAAGAACTTGATCACGTGGATAAGCTCTTGGACGTTTAAGGGTGAATTACAAAGCCGGGATCATGTTAGTTTTACAATGCTTTCTGATTTACATGTGAAAAGATGTTTCATTGACCTCATATATGAACCAGGCGACCATCGTGAACTGTTTGTATGCAACTCCAGTGATCGATACTCGCATGGTTCAATGAGATGGCCCAATCATTTTTTTGCAGCTTTTGTATATCATTTATTCAGATCCCAAAGGACCTTACACAGGATTCAAAGCTTAGACAAAGAATAGAATATACTGCTTCAGTAGTTCTTAATCTCTTTGTAATATTTCATTAATTTCATATGTGATCTAAAAATTCAATTATTTTTTTGTCTAAAGTAATTTGTTAATTTTCATGGCAATTTACTTTTAATATATTTTTATATTTTTTATAATGGATAAAAAAATCTGTAATTATGAATCGCACTACATATCTTTTTTAATATCTATCTTAATATCTTTCTCCTAAAATTCATAAGCATGAATCATAGTTCATTCAAGATATTATTAAACAGGTTCAAAATAAACTCCATCGCACCGTTTTACATGTCCTTTCTCATTTAGTTGGAATAAATTTTCTTGTGACATGCATTAATTGGTGGTTAAAGGAGATGGATCAAATAAAGTTGGCATTGCAACAATTTGCGGAATTGGAGGGATTAGGAAGACAAACATTGCCAAAGTTGTTTATAATCAAAACATCGAAATTTTCAAAAGCGATAGTTTCCTTGCTAATGTTAGAGAAGTAAGCCAAGAAAGCAATGGCTTGGTTAGTTTGCAAAGGTAGCTTATTTCAAATATACTTAAGGGAAAAGTAAACAAAATTCATAATGCAGATTATGGAATTATCGAGATCAAAGAAGCATTATGTTGTAGAAGAGTTCTTCTTTTTCTTGATGATGTGGATGATTCAGAAAAAATAACTAAAATAATTGGAACCAAGTAGCTTTTCATCCAGCAATTAAGATCATCATAACTAGTAGACATCGATCCATGCTGAATACTCCTTTCGCTATCCAGCTGCTAAATTTGGAGTCATCATCATTCAATTATGGAGACATCTGCAAGGAATTTGAAGTGAAAAAATTAACTTTTGACGAATCACTTCAGCTTTTTAACTTGTATGCCTTCGGAAAGAGTTGTTCGATTGAGATCAATTCAATGGAGTACTCAAGGAAAGTAGTGAAACATTGTGGTGGGTTTCCATTAGATCTTAAAGTTTTGGGTTCTTCACTATCAGGAAAAAGTAAGAATGTTTGGAAAAATGCATTGGAGAAATTGGAAGCAATCCCTGATAGCAAAAGTCAAAAGATTCTAAGAATAAGCTGTGATTCCATGGAAGATGATTATGATAAAAATTTATTCCTTGACATAGCTTGTTTCTTCAATGGAAGGATAAAGATTACACAACTACAATTCTAGGTGGTTGTGATTTCTATACAATTGTTTAGGTCTCTCCTAATTGTTAATGAAAAAAACAAGCTAATGATATATCAAATGATTAGAGAAATGGGAAGGGAAATTGTTCGAGAAAAATCTCTTGACCGTGGGAAACGAAGCAGATTGCGGCATAAGAATGCATTTGATGTAATAAGGTTGTGGCATAAGCATATATGAATCAGACGATGCAACTTCAGTGATCGGTACTCGCATGGTTCAATGAGATGGTCCAGTCTTTTTTTTTTTATAAAACCTTTTGTGTATCATTTATTCAAATCCCAAAGGACCTTACATAGGATTCAAAGCTTAGACTAAGAATAGAATATATTGCTTCAGTAGTTCTTAACCTCTTTGTAATAGTTCATTAATTTCATATGTGATATAAAAATTCAATTATTTTTTTTATCTAAAGTAATTTGATAATTTTCATGGCAATTTACTTTCAATATACTTTTATATTTTTTTTATAATGGATAAAAAAATCTGTATGCATGAATCGCACTACATATCTATTTTAATATCTATCATAACATTTATCTCTTAAAATCTATAGGCATGAATCATAGTTCATTCAAGATATTATTAAACAGGTTCAAAATAAACTCCATTGCACCGTTTTACATATGCTTTCTCATTTAGTTGGAATAAATTTTTTTGTGACATGCATTAATTGGTGGTTAAAGGAGATGGATCAAATAAAGTTGGCATTGCAACAATTTGTGGAATTGGAGGGATTGGGAAGACAAACATTGCCAAAGTTGTTTATAATCAAAACATCGAAATTTTCTTGGGCGACAGTTTCTTTGCTGATGTTGGACAAGTAAGCCAAGAAAGCAATGGCTTGGTTCGTTTGTAAAGATTAACTTTTGCAATTATGGAGACATCTGCAAGGAATTTGAAGTGAAAAAATTAACTTTTGATGAATCACTTCAGCTTTTTAACTTGTATGCCTTCGGAAAGAGTTGTTCGATTGAGATCAATTCAATGGAGTATGCAAGGAAAGTAGTGAAACATTGTGGTGCGATTCCATTAGATCTTAAAGTTTTGGGTTCTTCACTATCGGGAAAAAGTAAGAATGTTCGGAAAAATGCATTAGAGAAATTGGAAGCAATCACTAATTGTAAACACCAAATTTGTCCGGGTCTTGATTTAAGTTTTTGGGCTTTATTGAGCTCACGGGCCAAAACCCGATTTCTCTTTTAAGCCCGAGCCCACTATTTTGCTTCATTTTATTTTTCTATTTATTCTTCATATATTAATTTATTAATTAAACACAAAAAAATACAACAAAACAAAACAAAAAAATAAAAAAAAAAGAAGAAAACAAAAAGCAGGGGGGATTGGTGCCAGTGGGTGTATGACACCACTGCCACCCCTTGTCCAGTCCCCTTACTAGAGCACTCTAGCCACCCCCTACAGCCTACCCTAGCCATACCTCTAGCTGCTCCTACAGCCACCCACTACATCCCCTAGTCCACCCACTATCCCAGACACAAACCCTGCCCTATAAAGCACCCAGCTTCCTCCCTTTTCAAGCTCTTAGATACACAAAAACCTTGCCCTCGAATACCTAGAAACCCTGAATCTTTGTCACAACCAAAAACTCCAAATCTCCTACACCCACAAACCCATCCACCCTCGTGCGTTTTCAGACCAACTCCACACATGCCCTAAACCCTTTAACCCAGGCACAAACTTAAAAACAAAAAACAAAAAAAAAATGACAAATAGTCCTCCTCGTAGGGAGGAACCTCAATGCCAAAGCCCCCTACAACAAAAAAAAATCATCATCAACTTTGGGTTTTATAAAAAAAAAAAAGGGAGGCCAAAAACTTCAAGGCTCGATTTGTTCTTATCAAAGTTGTTCCTGGTGAAAAGGAGACCAGATCTGGAAAGAGGATGTCGACGAGAATTTCTAGAGGTTTTTTGACATTTTTCGATCATCGACGACCACCGATAGCGACATCAGCAACGACCTCAAGCAGTGATCAGCTCAGCGGCACGACGCCAATTTCTCGCTAAGCTAGAGAGAGTTTTCTAGAGCTAAAAAATTTTTGTTTCTAAAGGAATTGTGAAATGAATTTTTAAAAATTGACTTTTATATAAAAAACAAAGAATCAAAATGATGCCATTTTGGACATAAAGAAGATTCGCGCATGCCCATGACTCAACCCAAGATCTGCGCAACCCGACTCGTTAACCCCTTTAGTCAACCTTTAGCTAATCTAGATGAACTGCCAATAAACCGATTTGAATCGGTCTGAATCGTTGAATCATTGAACTGACTAGACCTGTTGTTAACCGGACCATTGACCAGTTCGGTTTTGGTAAAAAAAAAAATTTTTCTTGATTTTTTTGTTTTTTTATTTATATCATTTTAGCTTAATTATTGTTATTTATGCATATATAAAAAAGTTTTAGAATTTATTAGAATAAATATTTGTTATGTATTAATAATTAATAATAATAATATTATTATTATTATTATTAATGATAATAACAACACTAATAAAAAATGATTTCAAAACTTTGATTTTCTCTAAGAATAATTACCCAAATATTAAATAAAAAATAATAATAAAATTTAGAAAATGATTATAAAATTAACTAGTAATAAAATTTTTTTTCCTATCTAGATGTTGAAGGGAATACGAGAGTGCTTTAAATAATGATAATTTCACTTAAATATTAGAGAATTATTATTAAAAAAAAAACACTACATAAATTAGTAATATTATCAATAATAATTTTTCATAAAAAATATTTTAAATAGTTTTTTTAAAAAACCATAAAAATTAAACTTGCTCCGAAAGTCCATTTAGTTGTTAAGAATTTTTAGAGATTTTCATTTTTTTTTTAAATTCAAAATTCTAAACCCTAAAACCTCAAACCTTAAACCCTAAAAACTAAATCCTAAACCCTCCAAACACTAAAATCAAAACCCTAAACTCTCTAAACCCTAAAATCAAAACCCAAACCTCAAACCCTAAAACCTTTAAACCTTAAAATCGAAACCCCAAACCTTAAATTCTAAAATCGAAACCCCAAACCTCAAATCCTAAAATCGAAACCCTAAACCCTCTAAACCTTAAAACTAAAACCCTAAACCCCAAACTCTCAAAACCTTAAAACTCAAGCCCTAAAACCTCTAAACCCTAATATTGAAACCATAAGCCCTAAAATCAAAACCCTAAAACCTTTAAACCCCAAACCCTAAAATCTTAAAATCTTAAAATCCACAATCCCAAACCTTAAAGCCTAAAACTCCAAATTTGGTACACAATCCTGAATCATCACTCAAAAGTCACCAAAATTTAAAACCTCGGCCCATACCCAAGTTCAATACCATTTCGAAGCTTTAAGGATACTTGCAACAATCTCAAATAGAGTAATTTGTTCTCGAACACCGCCTAGATGATGGGGTATTTAAGAAACTTTATTCCATTAAGTTTTTCATGCGAATCCTTAATTTGCTTTAACAATATGAGTAAAACTAATAAGTATAATAATAAAATGAGATCTTAAATATAAACAATCATACCTAAGCTCTGCCTAAATGTTAGAGAGTCAGGGTGGTTTCATACACTCAAGAACCTAATTTTGAAATTGCATTTCATCACCTTACATAACATTCATTGGCATACATATGTTAGCACATTATTGTTGGCAATCATTTGTATTTTTTTGTCTTTAATTTTTATTTACTACCTGCTGATAAAATGGTTTATAAAAAAAGGGATAATACATTTTTGAAAATTATGACATTATAAAATAAAACCAAAATAATATTCCAAAGGAAGTAATTCTTTGTACTCTGCCTAGATGTTAGAGAGTCACCAACAATTATCTTTTATAAAGAGTGTTATGTCATTTTAAAGAATATTGTGTTAAATTCTAGGCGAAAAGAGTTATTTTAAATTCTACCTAGATGTTGGAGAATTTTAAGAAAATTTTTTAACTTAAAGATTTCTTCAATATTCCTAAATAAAGAACTTTGATAAAATTAATTTTCTTTTTAAAATAACAAAAGGAAATTATTATTAAATTTCAAATAGAAACCATTTTATCCAATATAGAAAATAGCGCATGATTAATTGGTACCAATTTATGGGTGCTATGGGGATGCTATCCTTCCCCACATGTAATCAACTCTCAGACTCGACCTAGTTTTCGTAGACCGAAATTTATCTTTTGATAAACTTTAAACCCGTTTTTATAGTTTTATTCAAAAGATAAACTTTTGGGTGGTCAATCAACCCTAAAAAAGAATGGTGGTGATTCCTCCCATTTTTCTTGATTTAAAAATTATTTACATCTAGTGGTCCTAAAACTATTATGATAGCTTGGTGACTCCACTAGGGACATTTCTGAGAGTCAATCCAAAAATTAATCATGTGTTACCCAAATTGTTGGATTTTATGGTTTTGATTGATTTTTAATTTTAATTCCTTTAAAAACAAGAAATAAAAAAAATCTTGCCTGTTAACATCCTACTTTGGTTTTATCATTTGTTTTTTTCATATGTTGTCATAATATATAGATCCGTAGACTTACAGCTAGACATTGATTAGAAAAGTTGCCACTAATTGTTTTTGTTTAGGTGTGATTGGTCACCTGACACATATTCTGATCCACGAAACCAGATGTTAAGTTCGAGAGTTGGTTATGCATGGGGAAGGTTATAGCACCCCCACAATGCCCATCTAAAAGATGGTACCAATTGAATTCAAATCATCCGAGCCTTGATCATATTTGTAATTTACCAAATTAATTTAATATTGAAAAGTAGTCTTAAAATTGTCCCAATAATTTGGTAGCAATTTAAGGTAATTTTCTCACCTTAGGAGTATTAATGGACTAGTGTCCCATTTTGAAGAGGTTTCATTGTCAGATTTATTAATATATCTTATTCAAAAAAATTAGTAAAAGTCTCCCAATAGTTTGGTAAAACTTCTTTGAAAAATAATTCTCAAATAATTTAG